ACGGCCTGCTGGCTCTGTCACATTCAGTTTGCAGGATTAAGTGGAAGAGCCTTTAATCTGGGCAAATCGGTAGGCAGAAAACTCAGTAAACAAAGTAAGGAATGCTTGGGACTTAAAAAAAAAACTTTAAAAATCTATCACCGAAATTAAAAATCTATCACCAAAATCTAATTATCATTAAAAATCAAAATATCATTGACATACATGCTATCTGGGATTTGTTTCAAATAATGGGAGATAAAGTGGTTGAGAATACAAACAAAACAAGACTGGGCATGAACTGGTAATTGTTAAAGATGGACTATGGGTGCATGGAATTTAATTCTGTTATCCTCTCTACTTTTGTATGTTTGAAATGTTCCATAATTTTAAAAAATCATGCATATTCATTGTGGAAATTTAGGTAAATACAAAAATTTTTTAGACCACAAAATAAAAACTAAAAGCCACAGGTAATCCTATCACTGGAGACAACTACAGTTATCACTTTGGTCTATTTATTTCCAGTGTTTTTCTGTCTTTTGTTTGCAAAATAGGATCATACAGTTCATATTGCTTTTATCATTTGCTTTCCACTCCCTTCTTAATTTATCTTATGAATTATTCAATTCCTTAAATAATCTTTAAAGGTATGACTGCTGCATAGTTAATTCATCAAAAGGTAGGCCATAGGGTCAAGATAGCAGCAAAGGTGAATGCGGTACTCTCATCCTGCCACAACCACATCAAAATTACAACTAAACTACAAAACAACTATCATTCAGAACCACCTGAAATCTGGCTGGCTGGAAGTCCTATAATTAGGGATTTAAATAATAAGCCACACTGAGACTGATAGGAGGGGTGGAGACATGGAACGGGCTAGCCCCACACCCACGTGGCAGATAAAAATCGGGATGGATGGATATGTTAGCTGTGGAGGTCCACCCTGAGAAGTGAAAAGTCCTCATCCCACACAAGGCCCCCCAGGCCAGGGTTCCAGTGCCAGGAACCCCCATAACTTCTGGCTATAAAAACCAGCGGGGGACTGAGGCTGAGGGAGACAGAGGGCTGCTGGAGTCTCAGGAAGTTCTTTTTAAAGGGCCCCCACAAGGACTTACTTGGACTCAGTGGCTCTGAGCTCTAGTGCTAGGGCAGCAGCTTAAAAGGCACCAGGGACATACAGGGAGGAAGTGAATTGCCTGGCATCAGGCCAAGAGCTGGAGGGGCAGCTTTCTCCCAGACCAAAGTGCCGACAGAGGCAGCCAGTGTTCCTTTTCTGAGCCCTTTCCCCACAGAGCTGGTAGGTGGGTGCCATATCTGAGCCTCCATCTATCTGGCTCACAGTTAGCCCTGCCCTGGTGATTGATTCCCTGAGACAACACTCCACCCAACATGCGGGCCCACCGAAGTCTTGGCTCATGCTTTAGACTTTCCTAAAATCTCTCAAACAAGCAGCACCTAGCCTCAGTGTGCGCTGTACCTCTCACAAAGTGGTGCCAGGGCCAGCACCAGCAGTAGCTGCTTTGGTTTTCAGCTTGGCCTGTCCTAGGCACCTCCAATCTCAGCACAAGTAACAGCCAAATGCAGATCGCTTTGTAGCTCGTGCCAGGTGGCCCCAGGCAGAATACAGGAGGCGGCTGACCTTGGTCTGTACCTCCTGGAAGGCTCCAGAGCCAGCGCACCAGGTAGATAGCTTCAGGCCACATTGAAACACCACCCAACCACCTCTACAAGTGATACACTCAAGGTATGGACTCAGTGGGCACCAGAGCCCTGCTGAAGTGAGTCCTGCTGCATGAGGTGGGCCCCTGCATAGCTGATCCTCCACGGTGGTTGAAACCAGCCCTTGCAGCTGATTAGCCTGAGGGTAAATCCCTCCCACTGATGTGCCAACAGCAGTCAAGGCTCAACTACAAGAGAAGGGTGTACACAGCCCAGCTTGGGTGAATGGGGAGGCTGTGCCACTAGGCCTCAAAAGACACCTACTACTCTACCAAGCCCAGGAGACGTAGCAGCTCTCCAAATACGTAGAAACAAACACAGGGAGGCTGCCAAAATGAGGAGACAAAGAAACATGTCCCAAATGAAAGAACAGAACAAAACTCCAGAAAAAGACCTAAACAAACTGGAGATGAATGATCTACTAGATGCAGAGTTCAAACCACTGTTTATAAGGATGCTCAATGAACTTAGTGAAAACTTCAACAGCATAAAAAAGGACATGGAAACAATAAAAAAGAATGAGTCAGAAATGAAGGATACACTAAAATGAAGGATAATTTATAGGAAATTAACAGTACAGTAGATGAAGCCAAGAATCAAATCAGTGATTTGGAATATAAGGAAGCAAAAACCACACAATCAGAACAGCAAAAAGAAAAAGAATCCAAAAAAATGAAGATAATGTAAAGAGCCTCTGGGACAACTTCAAGCATACCAACATTCACATCACAGGGGTGCCGGAAGGAGAAGAGAGAGCAAAAAAGTGAAAACCTATTTGGAAAATTATGACAGAAAACTTCCCTAACCTAATGAAGGAAATGGGCATACAAGTCCAGGAAGAGCCGAGAGTCTCAAAGAAGATGAACCCAAAAAGGCCCACATCAAGGCCCATCATAATTAAAATGCAAAAGATTAAAGACAAAGACTCTTAAAAGCAGCAAGAGAAAAGCAATTAGTTACCTACAAGGGAGCTCCAATAAGACTGTCAGCTGATTTCTCAACAGGAACTTTGCAGGCCAGAAGGGAGTGGCAAGAAATATTCAAAGTGATAAAAAGCAAAGACCTACAACCGAGATTATTCTACCCAGCAAAGCTATCATTTAAAATTGAAGGACATATAAAGGGCTTCCCAGACAAGAAAAAGCTAAAGGAGTTCATCACCACCAAATCAGTATTACATGAAATGTTAAAGGGTCTTCTTTACGAAGAAGAAGAAAAAATAAATAAAAAATATGAATAATAAAATGGCAATAAATACATATCAACACTTGAACCTAAAACACAAAATAAATGAACAAATAGAACAGAAACAGACTCATAGATACAAAGAACATGTTGACGGTTGCCAGATGGGAGGGGGGTTGAGGGATGGGTGAAAAAGGTGAAGGGATAAGGGAGTACAAAGAGTTACAGAACAGTCACGGAGATGTAAAGTACAGCATAGGGAATATAGTCAATAATATATTAATAACTATGTATGGTGTCAGATGGATATGACATTTATCAGGATGATCACTTAGTAAGTTATATAATGTCTAATCACTGGGGTGTACACCTGAAACTAATATAATATTGTATGTCAACTGTAACTGAAAAATAAAAAATTATTTAAAGTTAAAAAAAAAAAAAGATAAGCCATAATCTGAAATACTAAGTTTTCAAAGGGCAGAATATTTTCATGGGTCTGAGACAACATAGGAAGGTGCTGTAGGCACAAGAACAAATCTAATAGCTTCTCAAAGACCACTGTGCTTTCAGCATTCAATCATGCCATTCCAGTTAAGCCTTAAAGGTAATTTCTTCCCCCCCAAAAGAAAGTCCACAAAATTCTCAAGATGGGGAGAGAGAGGCATTCTACATTTTCCCTGCACAATTCATCCCTTCCGAGAAGTGGAATTTGGCAGCATGTCTGTGAAGACAACGCCTCATACTATCAATGTCTAAATGCCAATCAAAATACAATTTTTCTTTCTGAAGTAAATTTATACTCTGTCTATTTTGTGATGCATTTGAAAAACTAAGAGCTAAACACATTCTAGCTGTGTTCCATCTGGCTTTGTTGGAGTGCTACAAAGCATCAGGGACCTCTGAATCAAACCGTTTGGCTCTGGCCAGCAGCTGGGAAGGGGCCACTCTGCAGCCACCCTGGTCAGGGGGTCAGGGGAAGACCTTCCTCTCCAGGGCGGTCCCAAGGACACAGCACATGGATCAGCAGTGGGACCAAGAAGAGGACTGCAGGAGACTGCTGCTTTCTTCACTTTCTTCCTTCCCCTTATCCCTCTCTGTCTACCATTTTGGTTTTTTATTTCAGAAAGGACAACCACGGCTCTCTTATCACCCTGTCAAGGATTGAATGGAGGAAAAGTAAGAGCGAGACACACTGAACACCGGCTCTCTAGGGTCAGAAACATGTAAGTGGACAATTAAGTGCTTATCAACCAGCAAAGGAACAGCAGCTGCTGGTATGCAATTTCTTCAAACTGAGTCCTAACCTCCTTCCCCAGCCCTCCCCAAACATGACAGTCCTCACCACTGTCCTACTGCCGAGCCCACCTAAAACTTCAAGAAAGCATTGCCATTACACATGCTTTATAACCACTATGGAAAAATTTCAAAAGTATGCATTGGGATAGCAAATTCAAGAGTGATTTTTATGTTTTGTTGTTGTTACTGTGTTGTTTTGACAGCAGAAAATTATTTTAAGAATAAGTTATTACCAACATTCCAATGATACATTTTGCTGAGACTGGAACCTCTCAAAGCATGAGTTCATTTCTGACCTAAGTCTATGTCCTCCCTCTGGATTCATATATCACAGAGAAGCAAGAGAAAAAACAAACAAACAGAAATGCAACTAAGATGACGTGCAGTTCTCCTCTTCAGCTGGATTCCCCAATAGAGCAATATTTAAGATTTATCAAAATTGGGCCAGAAAGCTTTATAAGCGTCCATGCGTTTGGCTGGACCTTTATTTTTTTTTTTCCCTGAAGAGATGCTAAAAGCCAAATGTATAAACACAGAACAGCTGTCTCCTGGCACAGACAGCACCCCACTGCACACAGCTACACCCTGAGAGAGATACACACCAGCCGGATCCAGCCCTGCGCTCCAGCCAATCTGACTGCCATAGATTTCCCTCAGGGCCCACTGAGCTCACCCTCTGATATAAGAGTGGACAGGAAGCCACATGCTAGGGTGGCTCAGAATCTGCCATCTCTGCAAGCAGTGTGAACACCCACCCTGATGCTGTCTTCCCTGACCTCCCACCCAGGGACAGGACCAGAGAAGAAAGTTACCTTGCAGACAGCTGCCTGGAGGACGGCGTCAAAGCCCCCCTCGGGGGCATCGCGGTTCCGGGACACCCTCTGTTTCCGAACTTCCTCATTGAAGCTGTCGACTCTGTCTGTGAGAGGCAGCAGGTGGCGGAACCCAAAGGAAGGCACGCAGTTTGGGAATAACTTGTAACTAGAGAGAAAGAAGAAAAAAGTCACTTTTCCATCACTGTCTCTAAATCTTAAACAACCAAGTACCTTTGAATATTCACCCAGCACCTACTGTGTGCCCCTGGGACCAGCACAGGGGCGACGAAAACAAAGAGCAGTAACACAGTCTTGACTCTCAGAACATCAAGCTCTAAACTGCAGGCAAAACAGCATATACCAGGTTGTAAGTGGATGAAAATGACGAATGGGTGAGACAAGCGGAGGTGATGGTAGACTCCTGGGCTCAGAGGAAGACATCGTGGAGCAGCCCTGATGTGGCCTTGAAAGATGCGAGGGACCAGTGGTTTAGGTGCTGTGCTGGGGTGTCACAGTGGGAAGACTGAGGAAGGTGGGCCATGTCAAGTGAAGGCAATGTGAGCAGTTACTCTATGAAACCAGCTTCTCCGACTCGGCTGCTGCCACGTGACAAAGGATCACATAACCCCTTCATGTCAACCCTCAGAGACCACCAGGACGTGCTGGCACATGAGCCAGTGCTAAATGCAACAGGAACGAAGACGTCCTTTCTGCTTCTTCAATCATTTACAAATACTGCAACGCTAAACTATCAGCTCTCCTAGATGGAATAAATATCATTTAGAAACCAACCATTTCCCAGTGGCAAATCAAATCTGGAAGTTTGGAAAGAGGTAAGTGCTGCATCTCAATAGGAGGTTAATGCACAATGTTAATGAAATACTGGGCAATCTCATCTTGAGTCTGCAGTAGAGATCCCAAGTGGCCCATTCCTGGAGGAAGTTAGATCCCAGTTATAGTGCGAGGAGTTTCAGCTTGATATATAGCCAATGAAATAGGAAGAGAGGCATTACACGATTTCACAAATGAGTTCACTAAGTAAAAGGGGAGAGGGAAGAGCATCCTGGCCAGAAGAAGAGCCCATGCAAGAGCCCTGAGGCAGGAGGGAGCATGGAGAGCCCAAGGGCAGGGGAAAGCCCTTGGGGCTGCAGCGCAGGGGGTAAGGGCAAGATTGGGTTAAGAAGAGGCTGGGAAGGCAAGTTGGACCAGACTACAAGATCTGTGGACATGTTGAGAAAGCCTTTTTTTTTTTCAGAACAAAGGATGAAAAACACTAACAGAGAGACCTGGGGGAAGGCTTTATACTCCAATGCAAGCCCTGTGCATGGGAAGGGAAACAGGCTTAGCAACTTCTAAGGGATCATGGCTACCTGTCACCAAGAAGCAGGCTGCCAGGGCAGGTCTGGACAGGCTCCCCCCGTCCTGCAGAGGCAATCTTTGGCTTTCTAAGAGGCCATTCCATTCTCTTTGGGACCTACAGTGCCTGCTCTGTCCACCAGTCACTAGCAACAAGCTGGCTCTGGACAGTCAATCCCACTGATACAGGGGCCACGGTCCTCTGCAGATGGGCAGCAGCTAGAGGCTTTCCCCACCTGCCTGTCCTGTTTTTTCACTCCCTCCCTCTCCCCCCAAATCTTCACCTGAACCTTGTGTTTGGACAGATCAGATTCCTATAACCCGTGCCTGAGGCCACCCAAACTTTTTATCCCTGTCTGATTTTGCCATAAAGAGAAGGGTCGTGGAAATTATATTGCCATCTGGAAGAAGGAACTGAGCTGAGGTCCCATCTGGGGTTATTTGACAAATAGACAGGCCCAGGAGGAAGTAAATACAAACTCTCACTTTCCTCTCCTTCTTCCTCTAAGCAGCTACTCCCTTCTGTGTTGTTCTGGTCCATGATTTAGGACTTCAGGTATGTGCTGACTATCGCAGTTAATCAGGTTAGTTAAGGAAAGGGAGGAGAGGAACAGAATAATAGCCGCTCAATGAGAAAACCAGAAAAGTCATGAAAACCTCAGCTAAATCAGCTCAGCATTTTTTACCGTTTCTCTTTCATCCCTGCAAACAGCCATGCAGGCAAAAACCTGCACATAACTTTTGATTCTCCTAAAACTTAACTACTGTCTACTGTTGACCAGAAGCCTTACAGATAACACAGGTGATTAACACATATTTTGTATTTATATGTATTACATACTGTATTCTTATAATAAAGCTAGAAAAAAGAAAATGTTAAGATAATCATAAAGAAGAAAAAATAGATTCACAGTAATGTACATATTTATTGAAAAAAAATCTGCATGTAAGTAGACTTGCGCAGTTCAAACCTGTGTTGTGCAAGGGTCAACTGCAGATAAATTTTTACTGTGGAGAATTGCTATTAAGTATTAGGAATTAGAAAATGTGTCAGAGAAAAGCCTTCATTACAGAGAATTTATTATAACCAAATTAGAGTCACCTCTTAGAGAAAAACAGACATCGTTGAATGTCTCCACAGTCACTGGAATACAATGTCACCTGTGATTAATTTAACTCCTGGAAGAGCTGAATAACCTGAAGATCTAGATGTTTGGGGGTCTCATGCCAGCAAACCCTCCCACCTCCACCCTGTGTCTGCACCACAGGGCCCCCAGTTTAGGGCTGTGTCCAGGGAGTTACTAAATTAAGGATTATAAGACAGGAAGACAAATAAAATATATGTGCTTAAAGAGCCTGGGGAGGTGTGTATATAAAAGTGAATCCAATTTGAAGACGCTAGATCTAGGCAAACAGAGAAAACAAGCTAATGCTTCAGGACAAAACGGTGGGATCATCGAGCTGACAGGGAAAGAGCTCATCTCTTGCTATGATCTTAGAGAACTGCTGGGTAAAGTACAATTCTTAAAATGTTAATATGTAGCCAAGACTAGAAGCCTAGCAGGGAAATCTCAGGTGTCTGCAATGAAGAGGAAGCCATCCAGCAAATGAATGGACTGGAGAGAGGAGGCAGGAGTGAGCAGCAGCTCATGGCAGAGAGCTCCTCACGTGTCAGGACCTGACAGAGGACCTAAGGGCCAGGGCTTGGGGCAGGATTCTCACGGGAACGGTGATGAGCCTCAGGCCTGTGCAAGGCCAAGCACCGGACTAGGGGAGCGGGGTGCTGTGAAGAGTTACCCTGTCACTAAAATCAAAAACAGAAAAATTCCAGCCACTGGCCTGGGAAAGAGGGAACATCCACTCTGGGCCAAGAGCGAGATGAATCACCGATAAAAATTGCAACTCCAGGCCAGAGCAAGTCAGAATTCACTTCTTTTATGGTGAAAGAACCCCCAACTAAGAAATGAACAGGAAAACTAGTCCCAGAGACAGCTGGAGGACCCTGGCAGCAGCAAATGTAAAACCACCCTGGCCCCGCAGGGCATGGCTCAGCGGTGGAGCATTGACCTAGGATCCAAGAGATGACAGTTCAACTCCCGGTCAGGGCACATGCAGTGTTGCGGGCTCGATTCCCAGTTGGGGGCGTGCAGGAGGGGGCCGATCAATAAGGACTCTCTTGTCATTGATGTTTCTATCTCTGTCTTTCTCCCTTCCTCTCTCTGAAATCAATAAAGATATATTTTTTAAAAATCACACACACAAAAAATCCACCCTGCAGGCGGCCAGCACACCTGGAGTAGGTGATCTCCTGACAAGGAGGAGCTAAGGCAAAGTCACAGATCCCTGAGAAACAAACCACCATGAAGGGGTGTCAGCAAATTCAACAAGCCCAGCGGCCTGCAGTTCAAGAGGCAGAGGTAACAGAGTGATCCTTTAAAACACGGATATTTAAAACATTCAAGGAGAGGACGGAATAAATACCAACGACTAGAACAGGAAATTACTGGATGGGGGGGAGGGGGCTGTGAAAAAATAGTATGAAAAACCAACAGTCTAAAAAAGTCTAAAAAAGAGCCAAATCAAAAATACAGTCACCAAAATTCCAAAATGAAACTTCAGTGTATGAGTCAAACAAGTGAAGAACAAAATGGTAAACTGGAAGAAATTTCTTAGGCAGTTTAGAGGAAAAAAGAAAAAAAGAGGTAGAAATTATGGGAAAAAATTTTAAAACACAAAGTTTAGAATGAGACACTCCGACACACACCTGGTGGTGTTAGAAAGAAAATGGACAGAACAGGAGAGGGGACTCGCTGAGATAAAGTCTGAGAATTTCCGAGAACAATGATCTATTATTCTCTGATTAATCAAGCAGACCGAGTATTTCCATTGTTTGTGTGGATGGTGAGAACATTTAAGATCTACTCTCCTAACAGCTTTCAACTATACAAGTATAATTTCAAGTGTAGTATTATTAACTATCAATCCCACGCTGTACATTAGATCCCCAGATATGTTCATCCTGTAATTGGAAGGTGGCAGCCTTTGACCAACGTCTCCCCCTTTCCCTTGACCGCCCCCCCCAGCCCCTGGCAACCACCACTCTACTCTGTTTCTGAGTTCGGCTTTTTAATTTTATTTATTTTTTACAAATGGAATTTTTTTTATTGATTGATTGATTTTTAGAGAGAGGAAGGGAGGGAGGGAGGGAGGAACATGATTTGCTATTCCACCTATTGATGATTCATGCATTGGTTGATTCTTGTATGTGCCCTGAGAGGGGATCCAACCAGCAACCTTGGCCTATCGGGATCACGTTCTAACCAACTGAGCTACCCGGCCAGGGTGAGTTTGGCTTTTTTAGGTTCCACGTGTAGATGATATATAACATGTAATTCAACAAGAGCCCAACACCTCTAACAAAAGGAAAAGTGTTCAGGACCATAAATAACAATCCAGATGAATCCTTCTAATCAGTGAATATCTTGAGACTCTTCTCGGTGATACTCTTCATATTGCTCAGAATAGCAATTAAACAGTTCTTTAATCTGATGATTAAATTACTCTACATCTTTTCTTTAATCCTCACATGAGGATATGTTTTTAAATTGATTTTAGCAAGAAAGGAAGGGAGAGAGAGAGAGAGAGAGAGAGAGAAACCCTAATTGGCTGCCTCCCTTACACCCCCCGACAGGGGACCAAACCTGCTCCCTTTCGGTGTAAGGGGCAACGCTCCGACCAGCTGCGCCACCTGGCCAGGGTCACTCTACATTTTCCTGCCATGGCAGCCCTAGTACTGCTTACTTCAGTCTGGCCTTTCTGGTGTACTCTAAGATGGGAAGGAATAGGTCTAGGATTTTGATCCTTTGGCAGAAACATCTGGAACAAGAGGAGAAGGGACAAACCTCAGGAAAGCCCCATGAAGAACTGGCTCTCCTCTCTGAGATGTCCTGCACAAGTGGTTAAGTCAACTCTCCTGATTCCCCCCCCCCAGGCCCCAAAACTTCCTAGGGGCTGCTTCTGCTGCCCCCATCATCACAGGGGAGAAAAAACTAACTGAAGGTGCCACTGCAGCTTGAGAAGAATGCTGTGATCTCTCTCTGCACATTTGCTAAAGAAAAAGAATATACATGAATCACAACATCTACTAGCCAGGCATGGAACACAAACCAGTGAAGAAGGATAGCTGTGAGGGAGTGGTGGGGACTGTGGCAGCCAAACAACAAGTGGAATAAGCCCAGCCTTACTAAACTTTTCAGCTTTTCAAGAAAATCTAGGAATCCTGGTTATTTGTGGTTAAATCTATTTTTTAAATGTTGGTAACTTGTTCACAGTGCCATTAAAACTCAGAAAGGCAAACAAAGCATATGTACAGGCTGGATCAGGCACAGGAACAGATTATATCCCACAGCTTGCTCTGTCTTTCCCAGGAGCAGAGGCCATCTCCAAGGACACTGTACATGTTTCACTGCTTAGACATGGAAGAGAAATTTCAGGCTGCTCACTGAGCCAAAGAGTGACTCCCTGATGTGTTGCCCAGCTTGCAAAAGATAGATTTACATAACTTAGATGTGATGTTTCCTTCAAGACTCCCATTCTTCCCTAGATTTCCTGTCTTACAAGCAGCTTTTCAGTGTGCCTTGTCCTCACTGTCAAGACTTTTACTGTCTGCAATTGGCTCTGCCTTCTAGGGCTTATTCAGAAAAGGAGCTCTGAATAAGTAGCATGTAATAACTTGAATTCAAATGTTGGGTGCCCAGAGCCAGTCCTTCAGCCTCTGCCAGCTTCCCAGCTAGCGCCTCACAGTTAGTGGATGGTCCACAGAAGAATGAAAGTGGAAACACACCTTGTCTGTCTGGAGACAGGGCCCAATCAGAGGGCAGAGGTGAAAAGAACAGATAGAATCACTATTCCGGATGAACTGAAACAAGTTTTGGCTAAAATGCCGGTGCCCCTGGTCAGTAGCAAAACTCCAACAAAAGAATACTTGGCACTGGGACTCAGCTGAAAGGGCCTTGGAGACAGGACCAAGGTAATAATGCCAACAGCCACCTGTAGCCAGGAGGAAGCTACACCCAGCAAATGATGACACCTAGTGTTTCTTCATGGTTAAGGAAGTCAATCTCATTTGTATTTAAAATTTCTTCTTCTCTTAGTGTTTTTTCCACCACTGTGTCCGTTCTCAACCCCTAGGGAAGGCGTAAGTTAACTTCTATATAGAAGAATCAGGAAGGAGTCAGAAGAACATACAGCACCAGCATAAATACCACCTAACCCCAATCACCAGCCCAACCTAGAGCTGGGAGCTGCTGAGGCTGCTAAAGAAGAGGTGGAGTGCTATACAGGTTCAGGGACTTAAGAATAGCTCTCTTCCCCTAGGGGCAGCCAAAGAAGTCAATAAAAAATGACCTCACAAGATGGAAAAAAGCCTGGATCCCTGAGTCACTGCTTGAAGGAGAGCTTCCACGGAAAACAGTTCAACCCTCATCAGATTTTGTATGAGCAAGAGATAATCTTCCACTGTGTTGAGTCATTGAGATCTGCAGATTGTTTGTTACTGCAGCAGAACCCAACACAACCCTTAGGAAAGTATCTAGAGCAGGGGTGGGGAATGTCTGGCCCGTGGGCCGAAATCATTTGGTCTGGCCCTGCTAAGGCCTCACCAAAGAGAAGCAGTTCCAGTCATCACATTAGGGGTGAGTTAATTAAATGTCTGACCAACTATAGCAGACTAATTTTTAAGCTGATAATTTTGTATGGCCCGAGAATGATGTTCTAGATATCCAAATGGCCCTTGGCAGAAAAAAGGTTCCCCACCCCTGATCTAGAAGGTTGGGTGGTTTTGGAATAGGTATTATTACTTACATGCAGGTAAAGTTTGTATGCTGTAGTGTGATTTGGATGGGGGAGATATAAGCATTATATTAACTGACACCCAGACTCTGGAAGTCGTTTGTCTTGATTCATATCCCAAGGCTACCCCTTACTAGTTGTGTAATCTTGGGTGAGTTATTTATTCTCTCTAAGCCTCAGTGTCCTCATCTTTAAAATATGGCACACATCTACCTTAAAGATGTAGAAATTACAAGATCATGAGATTTAATAAAATAGTCCATGTAAAGAATTTAATATGGTGCTTGATGCTTGGTAAGAACTTAAATCGTAGCTATTCTTTATCCAGGGACATCCCAAAGCCTGAATAGAGTTGAATGAGAGGCAAGAAAAAGTTGGGAATTACTACTCATTGCAGTCACAACGAGGGACATTGCATAATCCTCATATTTGAAGGAATGGTTTAAAGACTAGGAAAAAAACCCCATCTTGTAGAGGTTGTGTTAGGGGAGTTGGAAGATATTACCCTCCATCGCCCACACACCTGTTGACCAGTCCTGCTTCCTCATCTTCCTGGGCACAGCTAAACCAGTCTCTAGCCTCCTTGCTAGAACCTAGTCCTTTAGACTAGACTGTAGGAGCAGAAGAGGCAAAGGTCACTCAGTCCTGGCCCATAAGATCTCCTAAGAGCAATCTCCAGGCATGATGACCTTAGAGGCCACATATGGTAGACAGTGGAGTCTGGATCCCTGAGATGTGCTTGGAGGAGAGATGCCCACTGATCAGGAGATCCATGCTCACTCAGGTGAGCAGGAATAAACTTCCATTAAGTTTAAGCCATTATATACTTTTGGATTTGTTTGCTGCAGCAATTAGAAACTCCTGTTCTCTAATAATGTGTTAAATATTTTCTAATTCAAGTACCTATATTGGGAAAAAAATCATACCTTTAAAACACAGAGTTTTCATTTTGTTTTGTCAAGGTAAGTTGTAGTTATTTATATAAACAACAGGGACAGACTCTGAATTTATTTATGACAAGCACCTCAGTCACTCCAAACAAGGAGAAAGTTTAAGTTGTTCTTTCTGCTCCCTCCCTGATCACCTGGGTCTGTCACTTCCTGACAACATTCTCCAAAATCTATTAATGTAGCAAAGAGTCCCATGTCAGGCAGGCAAGAAAGGATTTGAGTGATGACCATTACATCTTTCTTTTTTTTAAATATGTTTTTATTGATTTTTGTTTTTGAGAGAGAGAGGAAAGGAATGGGAGAGAGAAAGAGAGAAACATCAATGTGAGAGAGAAAACATCGATTTGGTTCCTTCCAGTATGCACCTTGACTAGGGACCGAACCCACAACCTGGGCATATGCCCTGACAGGGAATCAAACTGGTGACCCTTCAGTGCACTGGACAGCACTCAACCAACTGAGACACACCAGCCAGAGTCTGGATCATTCTATCTTTATGCAACCTTGTGACAGTTCATTTCTTTCCCCAGAGTGGGAAGACAGAACTGGGTCATCATTAATCACGTTAAACACCTAAGCCTGGTTCTCCCTCCTAAATATGCACCCCCAGTCCTTTCTTCGGGCTAAGCTCTCCCACTACTCCATTCCCCCACCCTTAAGTACTCAACAGAAGGAGAGCTGGTCACTTACCCAATGCATGGGTTGGTCTGGTACCTCGGTGCTGTGTAGGAAAAGGGAGAGATGCTCTTGTCTACAAAGGACCCGAACCCCAATCGGAAGTTGCTGGTGAGCTTCTTCATCTCCTCAGCAAGCTTGGTGCCCAGGTTCCGGATGTTGTCCAAGTCATCCTTCATGGACAGGGAGAGGTCCATCAGGTAGTACAAGTCCACGGGATAATCCTCCACCTGTCGCACCTGCAGCTGGAAGGTAGTCTTGTCACCTGTGCCAACAGAGAGGCCGTGCACATTAGACATCATCCGACTTGCTGGGGCCTGAAGAGGTGGATTTTGCTTTCAAAGCTGGTCCACCGCTTACCTTTCTCTAGGGATCGTGCGCCTCTGAGAAGATATTTTTCTTGGAAGCTCAGTGACAGAAGGGAATATGGGTGCTAAAGAATGAAGCTCTGGGTTCTCTGTCTAAATGCTTGGCTCAGCATTTTTAAGGAAATTCTTTAATAACCAGTCTCTTTAGTGGTGTTCACATGGGTAATTGGTGGACAGTGAACCAGACAATTCTATGGACACAAATTGGGTGAGAGTAGCCCACCAACCACGCACCAACTTCAGAGAAAGGGCCACGCCAGGAGGAGACTATAAAGGTGTATGTGAGATAGAAAATGGTGATGAAATTAACAAAAGAAGGGTACAGACATGAGTGAGGCGGGGAAGGGAGAGATTACAGACAATGGAGGGTGGGGACACAGAGACATTCCTTAAAACACCCCCCATGCTTGTGCCAAGTCACCGATTTCTATGTCTCTAGCTATTTATCAGACAATAATATTAGCTGTAGAGTAAGCTTTAGCTCAAGCGGTTATTTCATCATGGCAGGCTACGAACAGTATTTAGTTCTTGGGCATATTTGATGTTTTGGAACATCACAGACACAAATCATTATCCTCAGAAATTATATGTGTAAATACAGGAAGACAGATTCCAAATTTTAGCCCCATCAAAGGGGAAAAAAAGAAAGCAATTAAAAACACTACTAGATTTGTCCACCAGCTACAAGAAAAAGAAAATAATTTTTGGTTTTAGCATAAGATAGTCAACAGACAGAGGAAAGAACAAAGAGAAAAGCCAGTGTCTAGGAGGCGTGGCCTCTGCAATCTCTCCCCCTCCCCCCAGGGTGTATAGACAAGTCAACTCAACACCTAGAGGATTCACACCAGGAGAGTGATCCTAAATCACTTACAATTTCTAAAAACATATTGTTTAAATCCAATGTCAAGAAGCGAATCAAACCAGGTAATTCTATCTGCCCTTGGGCTTATTAGCCCTTCAGAGGCACTAAGAGATGTGCTTGAACAGATGTGAAAGAACTGTCCACACACACTTGAAATCTGGGTGTACACTATGAGTTCAGAGGTGCACTAGCAAAGGTGGCCACACCTGCCCAAGGAGCCCATGCTTGATCTGCCAGCATCAGGGATCAGAGAAACCAATCTTTCACCTGCAGCTGACAACCAGCAAGCTGAAGCCTTCTTGACCTTGCAGGAAAGAGAACCCAATCCACTAGGCTCCCTCTCCTCCTCCCACTCCAGACAAGACATACTTCCTTGACTAGATCATGAAGAATAAAGTGATCAAGAGATTTTAGTCCAAGTTCCAGCTCTATCCCTCGTTTAGGGGTGCAGCCTGAGCCTTAATTTCCTTAAATATAAAATAAAAACGGTAACAACACAGCACTGATTCAGGTTATGAAGCACTCACACAGGAGAGAAGCGTTTTGTAAGCAGCAAAAGCCTGCAGAAATGAAGTATGAGCGCTGTAATTACTGTTTGCAGCCAGAACAGCACGCTGTGCCTGCTTCCTCGGACTTGTCCTTGCTTGTACTGTTCTAGCCGCCTCAAGATTGATGTCGTTTGGGTTGCCTGTTGGTATAAGCCTGTTTTTAAGAAACATCTGAGCCTGACTCAATGGAAGAGTGTTCGAGATGTCTTCCAGAATGAATTCTGAACTGCTGCAGTGTCTGTCTCTGGTTCCCATCAGGCAGACAGAGCAGGGCCCCTCCCAGCTTTGGACACCACATCCCAGTGGGGAAGGGGTGGGAGGGAGGGAGATCTTGAGGGGAGGGGAGACACTCCTTGGCCTTTGCATGGGCAGACCACAGACCCCAAATGGCCAGAGCCTGCAATGATGTCCCCTCTGTCCAATCCCATGACCTTTTTGCAGGGTCTTCTGCATTTCCTGTCACCTGGGCCCCTGCCCCCAAGTTCCCAGCTGCACCTTCTTTTATCCAGAATCCACTTCCACCTTTTTGGGGATTTAGAGTAATTAACAGATGAGCACTTTAGGACCAGGAATGGGGACTGGTTTGGATTTAGGGAGCCCTGCTCATGCGAGGGAATGGGACACTGGCCTTGGAGGGGGAGTTGAGTTGGAATCCAGACCTTGTCACCAAGGACCTGGAGACCTTAGGCTTCTTTAAATCTGCTGCTCAGTGCCTGGATTAGTAAAATGGGAGAATGTTAATTACTGCAGGAATTAAAGGGAGACTATATACAAACACCATACAAATGCTCCTGCACAAGGGAAACTTCAGCCTCAGTACCCCCAAAGTCAATTATTAAAGCAATTTCCTGTGGGGATAAAAAGAGAGAAAATTCTGCCAGAAACTTGAGTATGAAAGGCTGCAGCCCTGGGCATTAAATTTAACTCTACATTTTCCAGGCATGAAGGCAAAGAGGGAAACAAGATGTGATACGTAGGTCTCCCTGTATGCTAAGAGGGTATCTATTCTGAAGTGAGCAATCTCTTGGCATTAAATTCTAAGAGAGACTGATTACTAAGAAAGCACGTGCACCCACATGATAGGGAGGCTGCAGGTGTTAAAAAGAAATATTCCTCCAGTTTTCCAGAAAGGGAGGAACAGCATTAATATTACGAATGAGGGGTTATTGCTACCTCAATTATGCCTGATATTAAATGCTACCAACTCCTCCATGGGCCTTGGCCAAAAAGGAATGTCCTGTCAGCAGATTTTGGAGGGAATGACATTCCTGGGCCCATGCTCAGTGTTGGAGTTAAGTTGCAGGGCACCAACTCCCCAACAAGGGTGGCCTCCCAGGTTAGCAAACTGATGGGGAAGCTGCTGCTGCAGGGGAGGCACCCTCCCTGCTGAGAGAAGGTCTGGAGCACATTTACCATCTTAGGGTACATGTCCGGAACCATGCACGCTTAGCCACACTCCCACAAAACAGCCACCCAGTCCTGTACCACCTGAGGCTTTAAACCAGTCACACGTCCCCTGTGACCAGCAGGGTGCAGAGGCCTTCTCTCCTCCCCTGTGGGTGCTAGGTCTCTGCCTGTCTCTGGTGACACCATCCTGGCTCACAAGCCCCCTCCTCCCTCTTCTCCACATAAGACCCTATGGGCTCGTCTCCCTGTGTGGCTGCACCCCTTCTCTTTGAGGACATCCCACATAATTCCTGCCTCAGGGCCAGCAGCAGGATCAGAGAAATAGGATAAAGCAAACACAAAAGAAAAGCTGACTGCCTTGCACCTGTGAGGATGCATCTACTCCTGCATGGAGCCCTCTCGTGTCCTGGTTTTCCCTGTTTCCAAAGCAGCCGGCTCCAACTGTGTTTTACTCAGAATTCTTGACACTACTCGGTTCATAACTGGAGGCTCTTCACCATAGTCAGGTATCAACTTGCATTCTGCCTGAAATGGATTTTTTTTAAAGCTTTCTTCTCTCTGCCCTCCCTTCCATAGAAAGTAAAAACCTAACTTTTTCCTTAGGGGCATGTATGAGATGACAAACATTTCTGGAGAGTGAAGGTAGAGAACTCCAGCAAGAACGTGCAGGTGCTTTAAGATTAGTACATTAAGGCAAAGTAGTGCCTCAACAATAAACACTCATGTCATCCCCAAATAAATGTAAACAGTGTTTGATGCCCCAGAATTACCCTTCTTTGCTAGAAACTGAAAGAAGAGTGGAAACATAAAATAAGCTCTATGACAACAGGACTACAGCTGGACAGGGAATGAGGGCTCTAGTGCACACTTGAGCTCTTCTGTTCACGGCAGCAGAAGGCAGTGACACCCCAGGATTAAACCCAGACCCAAAACCAAAGGCTCGCTTCACTGGTTTAGAACAAGGCTGCTATGCCGCACCCCACCCACTCCCACCTCAGAATGCGACTCTTGACAGATGGAACCCCGACTGGCCTCTCTGCCCCCAGGCATTAGGACTCAGCCTTCCTAGCTTCCTTGAAAATAACCTGTCTTGGACAGTACCATAGACTGGGTGGCTTAGAAACAACAGAAATGTAGTTCTCACAGTGACGAAGGCTGGAAGGCAGGCCAGCACGGGAGAGTTCTGGTGAGAGCCCTCTTCCAGGCACAGGCTGTGACTTCTTGCTACGTCCTCATGTGGCGGAGGGGCCCTCCAGGGTCTTGGTGTTCGTTTTTTTTTATAGCACTAACTTCATTCATTAGGGTTCTACCCTCTTGACCTAATCCCCTCTCAAAGACCCTACCTCCTAATGCCATCACACGGGGGTTAGGATTTCAGCTTATGACTGTTGCAGGGACACAAACATTCAGTCTACAGCACATCTCTCACCCACCCAGAGCAAGTCTTTCTACGTGTGCGCCCTGTCAGTATGGGTGGCCGGAGCAATACCTCCATCAGGTAACCGGCGCCTCTACAGCAGCACAGACAGGAGCTGGCAGGAAGCCCGTACCAAAGGCAACCGATCACCCGCAGCTTAGTAAATAGTACAGTGCCAGTGTCCATTTCCTGGCTTTGATAACATACTCTGGTAACGTAATATGCCATCATTGGGAAAAGCTGAGATGGGCATACAGGGACTCTCTACTATTTTTGCCATTTCTTGTGAACCTAGAATTATTTCAAAATAAAAAGTTTTCAATTATTTTTTTTAATATTTTAACTTATCTTTTTTTTTAAAATATATCTTTATTGATTTCAGAGAGAGGAAGGGAGAGGGAGAGAGAGAGAGAAACATCAATGATGAGAGAGTCATTGATCGGCTGCCTCCTGCACGCCCCGGACTAGGGATGGAGCCCGCAACCCGGGCATGTGCCCTGACCGGGAATCAAACCTCGATCACCTGGATCCTAGGTCGACACTCAACCGCTGAGCCACGCCCGGCCGGGCTGTTTTAACTTATCTTTATTGTTGAAAGTATTACAAATGTCTCCCTTTTTTCCCCATTGATCCCCTCCACCCTGCAAGCCCCCTTCAGGCCTTCACCACACTACTGTCTGTGTCCATGGGTTATGCGTATATGCATATAAATTCTTTGGTTAATCTCTCCCCACCCACCCNTTAGATTCCACATATAAGTAAGATCATGTGATAACTGTCTTTCTCTGACTGGCTTATTTTGCTTAGCATAATACTCTCCAGGTCCCACTGTGCTGTGCTATATTATTTAAAAATAAAAAGCTTTAAATTAAAACACACACACACACACCCTATCAATCAAGGGTCATTTTAGAGAGGCTAACGGTTGAGGCAAACAATGACTTAAGTAAACCCTTTCTAATTGCTCCACATCTAGCTTTTTACCATCTCAATAAACTTTATTCTAAAGTTTATGTCCTTTCTTAAGGGTTTTATGTCCCCTGTTAAGGCCTTTTTAAGATTGTTATCCTGACATTTTCAGGATTGAAAACAAAATGGAAAACATGATCCTGTGTTTATACAAAATCCTGCTTAAAGTTTGGCAGTTCCTCAAAAAGTTAAACACAGAACAACCACATGGTCCAACAATACTACTCCCAGCTACATACTCAAGATTATTGAAAACATATGTCGACACAAAAACTTGCACATGAATGTTCATAGCAGCATTCATCATAATTGCCCCAAAGAGGAAATAGCCCAAATTATTTATCAACTAGAATGTGGTATATCTATTTATACCCAGTGGAATATTATTTGGCCATAAAAATGAATGAAATCCTGATATGTGATATAACAGGGGTGAATCTTGAAAATATTTTACCAAGTGAAAGATGCCAGACATAAAAGGCCACATACTATCTGATTTAAATGAAATTGTCCAAAATAAGTAAATCACAGAGTTAGAAAATAGCCCAGTGGGCATCTGAGACTGAATGTGGTGGGGAGGAGAAGACAAGGAGTGACTGTTAACAGGTACAGGGTTTCTGTCTGGAGTGAGAAAAATGTTCTGAAAGTCAACAGCAGTGATGGTGCGTAACTTTGCAAATATACTCCATACCACTAAATTGTACACTTTAAAAAGCGAATATTACAGTATGTGAATTATATCTCAGTTAAGAAAGAAAATAAAAACAAAACAAAACATCCTGCTTAAAGTAGAGAGAAATGTTTCTTTGTAGGCTTATCCTGGAACAACAATTTTGCCTTGGGGAAGTCTCATTTCATGGTGAGGCTTGTCCTTGGCTAGTCTGTATAAGGCTGGCATTACATTGCACTCAACAAACATCCATTATGAGGTGTGGGAAGCAGGGTAAGGGAGGAGACACAGAAGCATTTCTAAGCAGGCGTAATGGGAAAAAAAATCACTGCACAGCTGAACACCTGCCCCAGAGTTAGGGGTCTCTGCTTTGAGGTAAGTATGCACTTGGTAAACTGACAATGTCGCTAACTGCAACATACCATTTTCTCCTTCCCCTAAGTAAATAAATATCTGGATTTGCCTGTATTTCTCTTTAAATATTAACATTTTCAAAATGTTAAGAGGCATTGTTGGCTTTAAGTATTTCTATATTTGAGAAACATATTCATAAGGTTCTGACCTTTAAGAATTCATATTTTCACCAGATCTGCTCCTGGTCTTCATCTCTACAGACTAAAACATCCTCACGACGTGGGTGTCTTCACAAGGCAGCCAGCCCCTCCATCACCTTGAGCCCCATTGCTACACTGTCCACAGGACCAGAGAGGAACACGCATCCGCAACACGGTTTGGTATGAACACAGGATTGTGTTTTCCATTTTATTTATAATACCAGCCACTGTATCCGAATGCTTAGCAGGAGATGTGACCACACCAAGTAAAATGAATTTCTTTTTTCTTTAATTGCGCAGACATTGAACTTTATGCATAAATAAGGACTGCGCATAAATTTAGTGCCAAGAGAACTTTGCCCAAGGAGGCTGCTCACTCTTCCTTAGCTTCTCTTTGGGGGTTGTTTTAACAGCCAGGTGAAAAGTCAAACCAAACAACAATTTCTCCACCTTACAGTCTCACTTTAATTCTGATTTTTAAAACTGTGATATCTCTGGCTTTGTGTGACCTCCAACTCTTTCCTAAACTAAATCTACCCCTAAACCATAAGAATTTGCCACCCTGGCAGGTGTGGCTCAGTTGGCCGGTGCACCCAACGGGCATGGGTTTGGGGCAGGTACGGGAGGCAGCCAATCGATGTCTCTCTCTCTCACATCGGTGTTACTCTTTCTCTCCCTTCCAACCTCTCTAAAATCAATAAAAATAAAAATAAAAAAGAATTAGAATTTGCTACCATGAAGGGTATTTACTCTGGGAACAATTCTAGATGAGGGGTTCCAAAAATATAAAAGTCTCCCTCGGTGATGATCTGGAAAAAATAAACTCTTTTGAAGGTATGAACTTTGGTTCTTGATTTCAAAGATTATTGAGTAAAACCTATACACAATTATAAATACATTATAAGTAGATGAAAAATATGAACACATGAATAAAGACAGAGTATCTAGTAAAAATGAAAAATAATACTGTGTTGAAGTGGATCTTTCAAAAATTTCCCTTAAGTTACCGGTTAGACTGTTATTACAATAAAAACGGAGATACATCGTTCACCTTAGTTGATAACTGTTCTCCTGCACAGTGCTCCAATATCTCCAGAGTCTACCACAACTGCTACATCCCTTCTAGGTCAAAGCCCTTGACCCTGAGCCTGTCTGCACATAAGGATATGAGTTATTTTCCACATAAGGACATCACCAAACATCTGCCCACATAAAGGCTCACTGACTTTTCTACTCACCCACACAGCTTTGTAAAGGCTCCCTTCCTTCCCTCTCAACTTGATGTTTACCAAACAAAAAGGCTAAGTGTCACTCATAGTGAGATGACGCATAAAAATAGCAACTTCAGCTAATCCCAGCACTAATCCCTGGGCCATCCAGGAGCTTGTGCCTCTCTATTCAGCAGGGCCACTTAACATCTTTCTTTGGTTTCTTACTTCCAAGATAACTCAATAGGCAAATAAAACATTTTTCAACTCTATGACGACTCAGAGCTCTATTAACAAAAACAAGCAGCATTATGCAGTACTTCCGATGTGCAGAGCTGTGCTAAATCCATTTCTGAGCCACCGGGAATCCCTACTCAAACCTGTACCTGGCCGATTCCAGAATCTAAAACTCTGGTCATTATTCTTTGAAAATAATAATTTTAACTTTTTAAAGTGCATTTATACAAAAAGCCTCATTTAGGCCTCTGAATATAGCTGTGAGGAATGAACGTGAGGGTCAGGTAACTTGCCCCGGGCCTCTGAGGTAGGGACAGAGGCAGAGCTAGAACCCAGAACGGCCAACCAGATCTGTGATTTTTCACTGTGCCAAGCGGCCCTGGAATCTAAAAAAAAGCCATCTAGATATAGTGACTGCCGGCGGTGTCCCAGACAATGGGATAGAAGAAAAAGCTACAAATCAATGAAATCTGGGGAAAAAGCTGCCTTCTCTCAACAATGTAATCCTTCCTAACTTAGTCACACCCACATCCATCCTTCGATATCCAATGATTCTAATATGTAGAATACTGGATAACAAAAGTGATGAACTGGAGACAACCTTGAGTCCTACAGTCCCAAAGACCTGGGATGGAATCAGAGTCACCACTTCCAACCGGGAGAACCTGAGCAGGTTACTCCTCCTGCACAAAATGATATGCTCTACCTTAGGGTAGGTCAAGCATTTAGCACAAACTGCACATCTGTTAGTTTCCTTATAGCACAATCAATTCTAGGGCCTACAGAGGCTCCAGGGTCATAAAACAAAATATTTCTACTCTGAAAGTTTGTCCCTTTAGAATGTCACTGATTCAAATGGAATTTGCTGACAGAAAAAAGTACTTTTCCCCGAAATAGTACTTTCCCTGAAACTTGAATGGTAACATTATTCACAGTAGCTAAAAGGTGGAAACAACCCACATGTCCACTGATGGATGAATAGATAAACAAAATACAGAATATACATACAATGGAGTATAATTAAGTATATTATAGTTACATTATATATTATAAATAAATATAAATATATAAGAAGGAAGAAAATTCTGACACATCCTACAGCATGCATGAGCCCTGATGACATTATGTTAAGTGACATAAGTCAGACACACACACAAAAAATACTGTATGAGCCCACTTATCTGAGGAACCCAGAGCAGTCAAACTCGTAGAGACAGAAAGGGGAACGGTGCCTGCCAGAGGCTGGGGGAGAGGGAATGAGGAGTTCCCATTCAATGGGTACAGAGCTTCAGTTTGAAAAGATGCAGAAAGTTCTGGAAATGGATTGTGGTGATGGTTGTACAACACTGTGAGTGTACTTAATGCCAATGAACTACACAGTTAGAAATGGTTAAAATGATAAATTTTATGTTACATCTATTTTACCAATTTAAAAAAAATAGCAAAGATATTCTGTCCTCCCACAGGGGCCTTGTACGCTGCTTCTAGGGTCTGGGCCACGTCTCCCAAGCCCCTCCCCTGGCTCCTGCCTTCAGCCTGCCCTGGCACATGTCTCCATTATTAACGTGTCCCATCTCAAGGGCACTCACCAGGCCGCAGGTTCACAGCAATCTCCTGTGGCGTCATCTGAATGACGTCTGAGCCCGCGTAGCTGGAGCCCTTGCTGCTGAGAGGCAGGCTCCGCAGGACCTGGGTGACACTGGCCGGGCTCTCAAACTCTCCTCCACAGCCATTTCTGACCAGGTTTGCCTTCAAGTCACACCGGGAGGTGACTGACCGCAGGCTGCCGAAGTTCTAAGCAAAGGAACAGAGGAGGAGAGGGGAAGTGGTCAGGGTGTCTCTCCAGAACATCTCAGGTTGTAGGACCTTCACCCTCTGGTTGACCTTGAACTCTCTGCTTTCCATTTGCATTGTCTGAAAACGGAGAAATGATCATCTGTATCCCAAATGCCACACCAGATATTAAGTGGACTGAGGGGCTGGATATGAAAGCATTTTGTGAACTATAAATACATAATAAAAATGTTTCGTTTCATGATTATTTTAATGGTCAAAATGCTCCTTTAAAAACGTGCTGAACTGTCTACGTGATCAGCAGGAGAGAGTAAATGAAATGGTCAGAAGCTGTATAACTAAAATTTTTTGAAAGACATAGTGTCCGAGTTAGTCATCACTCAGGCAATCAAGAGTTAACTTCTGAGCTGTCCACTGTCTATTCCTCTATTCTGCAGGCACTGAGCTTTGCACAACCATTGAGAGAACAACTGGCAATATACATCGTATCCTCTAGCCTAGAGGTGCACTTTAGGAATTTACAAGAAAATAGTCAAAATGAAGGGGAACTCTGTAAGATATGTACTGCAGTGTTGCTGAGAATAGTATAATCTTATAAATTTGTAAACCTAAACCCCTAAACCATAAGAAACACAGTATATCACCTCAATGGATGACATAGCCATATACCAATGATTATAAAGACTAAGTAGAAATTTCAAAACATTGATACTAAGAAAAAAATCAGAAAATATAATCATATCTGTACTAGGATTCAAAAGAAAAACTTTAAAATGAATATAGTTGAGGTATTAGGATAGAGAAGCTACCCTAATTGTTCTTTATTGCTGTTTGAACAATAAAGCCACATCGATAAGAAAAATATTTCTTTTCTTAAGATGAAATGAGGAGAAGCAGGGAATCAGCATGAACCAACCTAATGTGGGCACCAAGAGTTTGGGCCGTTAACTTTAAAATGAAATAATATACTTTGTTTTAATATATGGTGACAGTAAGTACTGATTATTTTCCAGTAATGACGTTTTTAAATGGCAAAGCAAACCCAGGATTCTCTCTGAATGCCCTTTTATTGACAGAGGTGAGAACTGAGATCACCTCCTCCTGCTGGTTGGCTGCCAGGCCTGTACTGATGATCCACACAAAGGCTGGAGGAGTCGGGACACTGACCTTCCTCCCCCCTCGGTAACACTTTGCCTGGAAGCCTCTAGTGGGTCAAGTGTGCCTTGTCTGCCGTGTTAGAAGCCAGACTGTTGGCAGAAGCACAAGCACGCAGAGGGACTCGCCCTCAGTCGTGGTCTAGGATGCCCCGAGGCTGGTCAATGTCAGAGTCTTTGCAAGATTCAAGACCAAGAAGTCAAGAAGAAAGACTGTGTAGTATTTTTTAAATAAGTAAAACCAGATGTGTTATTCTGAGCCTCTGTGAGTTTTCTGGGTTCTTTTGTGTGTGTTTTTATAACTGGATTTTTTTTTTCCCCTGTATTGAACCCTTGGAGATCTTGCCTATCAAAACCTCTGGGACTGCACCATAAGTATAACCAACTCCACAGCCTCTTGTGGAACAAGGTGGGAAACATGATTATTCTAGCGTAAAATGATTATCCTTAAAATTGTACAAGATTTCAAAGCTAGGGCTTCCAGAACTGGGTTCCAAGTGGTCAAGGTTACCTCTGATGTAACAATTCTAATGAAGCAATAAAAAAAAGCCCAGGTACAGGGGAAGGGAGAGTTCCCTTCCCGAGGGCCCTGCAGCTATCGCCCTGCTGTCCTGAGCTGTCTGAAGCAGACGTTTAACTAGCTGCCCAGGTCTGGAAGGGCTCAGGGGCTTGCCTGCTCGGAGCTCACTTGGCTAGAGAGCTTCTGAACTTCTGGCTGACACACTGGGCCTTGCTGCCGGCTCCTCCAATTCTGAGGAGCTGTTTATCCTTGGCCCAGTTCTGACTGTCAAGGTGCACGTCTTGCCCAGTCCTGTGCAGATTCCTGCCACCAAGTTGGCAAGGAAAGCATCTTTGGTCTCTCCAGAGAGCGACGGGAACCCCTGCTGTCCCTCCCATGGTCCCGAGCAGCTTACACTCTGGAATAGGCTAGGTCATAGAGCCAATCTGATTCACGCTGAGGAGGCAGCTGCTTGCTTCCTCACCATAGCCTCAGCCATTCGCTTTTAGGCTGGTCATCGAGATGATCCCCTGTTGCCTGGACCCTCCTGGCTGTCCCGCTTAAAGGGGTCTTTGATACACACTACCAGTTCTTGGTGGAGGACACATACAGGGCCACCTGCTGGCCAGGAAAGATGGACCTGCTGGAATCATCAGGAGACTCAAAGTCCAGGTTAGCCTTCCCAGATCTGAAGATCTCAGAGGTGGCCACACCTGCGCCAGTTACAACCTTGCCCGTGTAGCTGGCCTTTCCAACTGTACTCTAGGGCTTCTTTATTCTCTAGGATGTTAGGAGCAGAGCCCTCTTCATTCCCCTCATTGGTAGCAGCATCCCCCCTCTTTCTTCTTAATGCCGTTTTTCAAGGCTGTGGTAAAACCTCAGCTTCAATGCGCATGGCTTTCCCGAAGTCTGCTGCACCGCAGGAAGGATCGTGAACTCCTGCCTCGTCACCTGGTTCTTGGAGCGAGAACCACCACTGACCACATTAAATCTGCAACTTCAGTATGACGTCAGGAGTGCCAACCAAGGCAGCAACACAGTCCGGGCCGCCCCCTTCCCAGCAGCTCCAGCTTTACGTCAGCAAGGGACATCTGTCACGGCGCCCGTGCCAAAGTTAGGGTTAGTCTCAGTGCCATTCGTCTCTATCATCAGTTTGTCCAAATCCTATTGCACAAAGCTCAGTGCCTCACTACTTAGGGCAGTCCCAATGGTTTTACTGATGTGCTCAACAGCCTTTGAGGCATCCTTACCTATATGTCAAACCTTGTCATTGTTCCAGAGCCTTAGGGCCTCAGAGATACCAGCTGAGGCGCCTCTGGGCATGCAGGTGTGAAGAAGCTTTTGAGAGTAAGGCAGCTACCTCAACAGTGGGATTCCCACTGCAGTTGAAGGTTCCTATGGCATCGAGTCTGAAAACAAGCCTGGCTAATTTCTAGCCATAGGTTCTCATTGCCCAAGAATAGGACAGAGAGTGCTGCAGACCCCAAAGAGAGTGTTCACCCCACAAGCCCAAGAATTTCTCCTCTATTCCCCTGAGCTCCTTTCTAGTTCGTTTTAAACAGGGACATATGCACATTTAAATAGAAGAACTCAAAAACACAGAGGCCAGGGGCACATACTGTGATGGTTATGACCTTTCAGATACACAAACATTATAAAGACAACGTCTCAATAACTATAATTCCAAGCTCCAAATTCAATGAGAGCAGATGCCCCGAATTATAAATCCTTGGAGAAAAGGAAGACTTGTGATTAAGAAAGCCCTCCTCACATGAATGACATCCCAACATCTGATGTGCTAAGAGCCTTCATATCCCAGGGACCTGACACCCAAACCTTCGACAGGCATAGGAATGCAGCAAATTCCAAGGGAAGGGGACCGTGCACGTATCGCCTGGTGCCAGCCCCTCGCTTCTGTGGGTGAGGAATCCGAGGACCACATGCCTGAGTTCTTGACTACGTTCACCCGAGAAGTCTAAATTCTTCTGGCCTCAGCTTCTTTTTTATCGTCACCCTCTCATCTCAGCCAAGACCACTGCTGAATTCCATAGCAGAAAACTAACTGGGCACACAGATTCTATCCCTCTGAATTTAGTATCTGCTTGCTGCCCCAAATGCAGAGATCTTCCTGCCACCTAGCAAACTTGGAGGACAAATGTCCTCTTCACGCAGAAAAGTGAGTATGGAAGGTGGGGGGACGACTTCAGCTCAACACTGAAAAATGGAAACTAGCTCCAGGATGGGCTTCTGATGGGCACAGCTCAACTGCTTGCAGACGCTCCTGGTGCTCCAAGCTGAGGAGGCTTCAGTTCATGAAGGACGCCTCTGTCCATGGTCGTCAGAACCTCTGTCATCCATCCTCCAAAGGACTCATATAGGGTAACTGCATTACAGGCAAATTACAAGAGTAGCAACAGAATGGGAACAGGAACTTGAACTATCTTTTGTGGTTTTTAGTCACTATATGGAGATAACACAAAAAAGAAAAGGAAGGTGTTCCAAATTTAGATCCTTTTAATTTGTTACAACACCGTTGCATCCTGCCCCTCTCTGTTCTCTGTCCCGTTGCCCAGAGGACATAATGAGGTTTACTGTTTGTTGTAACACTGTGACACCTGACTCACTGTACACTTTGCTAATCACAATCTCTTTTCCTGCGGCCAAGGCCAGTGCTCAGCTGGCTCTTAGCACAGCAGTAGGGCATCTCGGCCAGTGCATTCAGGGCCGTCTGTCTGTGCCACACCAGTCATTACGTTATATCTGCAGACCACCCCACCCATTCCTTCTGAAGGCTAAAATGCTAAAAAGATGTGGGTGATCGTTCTGGGGGGAAGGACAGATTTTTGTTTGTTTGAAACCGCAGGCCCTGGGAGAAGAGGAATCCAAGAAGAAAAGGAGGCAGCCAGGCCAATCCCTGGGATGAAGAGGGAAGCAGCAAACTGGTGCAGAGGCGGAGAGCCTGGCAGAGAAGTGGCCACAGGCGGGAAGCTGGCTGTCCTCTGAGGCTGGCCTTCCCCTGCGATACGACCAGGCCAGGCTGTCTGACCTGCCAAGGCTGCAGTCCTGGCTTGGCAGAGCGCTCGTGGTTTGGGGGGAGGAGAGAAGGTAAGTGATGCAACCCAAAATCTGTGCACCAGCCACACGCTACCATGTGTGCTTCCTGCCTGGGGTTAGAGAAATCCCTGTCAGCTTCCAGTCGGCTGAGTTAATGCATTGAACAAATATTTATATAAAGCATCTACAGCAGGCCAAGATTATCCTTTCCATGACCACAAAGAGATGTTCTCTCAACGAATCTATATTTTAGTGGTGAGCTGGAGTAAATGCTCATTTTTTTTCATTTTTTCCCAGCTCAAAGGAAATATTGGTAATGTCTCCTCCACTTTTCCCTGCCACCATAATTTCCCGGAAGGTCCAGTAAGCCCTTCTTGCTTCCCCGCCTCTAATTCCGTCTCCTTTCTCACTTTCCTGCCTCCAGTCCTGACTTCTTCGCTCCTCCACATCTACCTCCAAGGCAAAGACCCTTCGCCCCAGCCCAGGCTTCCCCCAGGCTTCTTCCACGCCCTACCCTATCTCCACCCATCCACATGTCCCAGGCCTCCCTATTCTCAGCTCCCACAGAGCAGCCTTGCCTGCTGGGTCCTTCCTTTTCCAGTGTCTCAGGAGCCTGTGCTGCCCAAGGCCACATCACCTCAAGGGGTCTCACTTTCACACCTAGATCCTCCCCTCTTCCCCCAGCCAAGCCCTGAGCTCCATCTCCTTGCCTGCCTCTGCCTCCTCTCTCGCTCCCACCAACCCTGCTTTCTGTCCCACAGGAAACATGGGTCCCTCAGGCCTGCCACCTGTCGACCACTGTCCCCTTACAAGGCATACCAGCCTCCCTGCCTCCAGCATGCTGCTAGTCCACAAAACCCACCCTCCCTTTCCTCCTGGCCTCACAGCTAGGTTGTTTCCAGTTCTCAGTGCTGCAGGCGTAGTGAAGACTGGGCTTTAGATAGGCGGATGTGCTGAGAGCAGTGCTGAGAGCTACCCTGAGGCACCCACGAAGCCTTCCCCATACATTCCTCTTTACAGCTGGCTGGGCTGCGAAACCGACCATCTTAGAGCAGAGGAGAATTCCCACTTTAAAAAAAATGAGGGACAAGATAGATATTAAGCTGCTTGGGTTTGCTGTGTGTTATGCTTGCAGTACACACAGCAAAAGTGTTCAAGCTGAGAAGCAAGGGCTGAGGCCGGCAAAAAACAGCCCAGGGGTCACGAAGGACAAGGGACAGGGGCTGAGGTGTGCGGTGCAGACAGGTGGACAGGCAGCTCCCTGCATGTCCTACTCAGAGCAGGCGAGAGTCTGGCAACTCTGGTCTTAAAGCCCGAGGGTAAGTCTGGAGCTGCCAGGTAAGTTACCTTGGGAAACAAAGACAGGAGAGCCAGGTTCATAGGGCCAGGCGGCAGAGCTGGGTAGAGAGCTGGCAAGCTGGGCTGGGCTGCAGTGCCTGAGGACACCTGGAGGCGGCAGCACTGGGAGGTGGAGTTAGGTTACGAGGGTGTCAAATGTAAGGAGTCCCCACCTCCACCTCAAGTAAAATAAGGAAGTCATTGTGGGATATAGTGCAGGGGAGTCCCATGGGATGCGTGCTGGGGTTAACCCGGGCTGGTGTGCAGGCACTAATCCCGGGTGGTATGTATGCATCGACCAGGAACCCGAAGATCAGAAGCCACATGGTGAGGGACCTGGCCCTCCATGCTGCCCACTTGGTATGACCCCGCAATACACACACATCCTATGCTCTTGGCAGATACATTACTTCTTCGATGATGTCCCAGGATGTATGGTTAAGACGGCACTAGGCCACTCACTCTGTCTTGCTAAGGGGCAGGGACGGATCAAAGCCATTCCGAACTCTCCAGACCCCATCCTCTGAAACATCCTCAGGCCCCGGGGAAAGTTAACTCCCAAAGAAGGTAGGAAGCTGCATTCTGGTGCAGGCCTCACAAGAAGTTCTGCAGCCAAGAATGAAGGCTCTATCCAAGCACAGAGGGAGCCCAAGGGGCTAGAGAGGGACCCCGGGTGTGAGCTGGGACAATGATATGCTCCTGGGAATAATGTCATTTGCTGTCAATATCAGGACGACAGACTCATGGAAGTACTGACACAAGAAAGGAAAAAACCTCCAACAGACAAATTGATCCTGGTGTCTGGATCCCACTGCCCACATTTCACTAGAAAATATACCCAGTGATGGCAGCTGATTGCTGGATAACTCTCACTCCTCATTCTGGAGGCTTTATACTCCCAATAATGCTGGAGGGTGGGAAATATCTCACTCATTTTACATATCAAGAAACTGAGAATAAATCATGACAAAACCAGTATTTAAACTTTGGTTTTCTAACTCCATGTCTTTTTAGTGGGCCTCTTTTATCAAAGACGAATTCCTGCCAGATTCCTGGGGATCTGGGGATGCTAAGATGAAAAAAACATGGTTTAGGTTCTCAAGGAGATGACAATTTAGTTGGTAATGGGCATGAGAACAAATGAACAGAATAAGAGACTATAAGTGCCACTGAAGGAGCACAGAGTATGGGAGACAAAGAAGTGGCCATGGCCTGCACATGCAGACACACAGTAAATAGCCATTTAAAGAACTCCTTCAATCAATATTTATTGAGCAACTACTGTGCGTCAGGTACCATTCTGGGTGCTGGAGATACAGCAATGAAGGATACAGATAAAACTCCTGCCCTAACATTCTGGTAGAAAGAACCTACATTCTCATATCAAATATGGATGGATGGATGGACAGATGTCTCAGGGGAAAACCATGGAAGTCTTCATAGAATAAATGAAGTCTGAACTGATTCTTGGAAACTAGAAGACAAGGTGTTGGTCAGGGAAGGTATGGACTACGAGGCCCTCCAGGAGGAGCAGCACCACAGGGAAAATCAGGAGAGTGTTCACAGTCATGGCTCTGGGGATCTGCAGGTAGTTCCCCCTGGCTCCCGTGTTGGAGGTGGGCAAGGTGGGAACTTGGATTTGCCCTGCAGGTCATAGAGAACCAGAGAAAGGTTTTAAAGAATGTTCATTACAAAGACACTAATTAAACACAAATCAATGAAGAGTTTACATACTGCAAAGATTCCTCTCTCAAAATACATGTGCCATAACCCTATTCTCTACTAGAAAAGATTCTAGGGCAGTCACATGTAAGAGGCAGTAGAGCCTACAGGAAAGAGCTCAGACTCAGAAATCCAAGAAGCCAGACTCAAACTCCAGCTTTGGAACATCACGTGGCCTTGAAAGAGACACTTTACTTCTCAGAGCCTCAACTTTTCATCAATAAAATGGGTGTATTACCTAACCCACCGAACAGAGCTGTTGTGCTTAAAGATACTGTGCACAAAGTGTGTGGTATCTAGTAGGGGTCCCCTCGTGATCATTTTTAGCCACTGTAGGCTAAAGATCTCCCTAGACCTCTGAGGCTGTGTCACAGCAAAGAAGCCTGGCCTCCCAGAAGCCGACTCTTGGTCCCCCTGACGGGTACCACACCCTGAACTGCAGAGGCTAAGCCAGTCCAAATGACAAGTTTTCCGTTCTTTCAAAAAGAACCTTAATTATGCACTCGTGCAAGAAGGATTTATGCCCCACGGTTCTAAAAACAGTTTAGAAAACTGACCCAGAAACTTCCTTCAGGATGGGAAGTTTAGAAATCAATCACTTCCCAGTTAGCCCACCAACCTTGTATCTGTACTGCTTTAGGAGAGCAGTCTGCTTATCACCACCCCAAACTTACGCCCCTTCCTATAGGGTTTGAAGAAATAGCAATTATTTTTAAATAAAATCATTCCATAAAGGCCAGCTTATGATATTCAATTCATCCTCAAGCCACATTAAGATGAGCAGCACCCACCAACATGTCACCCACCCAGGATGTTTTGAATCATTACACAATGAATTCACTTCACAAGCTCAGGTCTCTGACTAAAGAGCAGAAAACTATACAAGAGTCCTAACGGGTTCCCCCACAAAAAGAAAGGAAGACCTTGCTTCCCTAAAACAGAATTAAAACTTTTGACACTATCTGGAGACTCAATTTTACTTGTAATGTTACAAAAAACGCAGCTTTTCTCTTGTCACCACCCTGGGAAAAAAGGAAGAGCAGCTTGCAGAATCTGCACATACTTTTTTTATCCAAAGAACGTGTGCGCTGTGGCGCAGCCCAGCCCAGCCCCACCCC